CGTTTCCTGTGTATCCGCAGGGCTGCTACTGACCCTGCAGCCAGATCAGAAGTTCCAGAAAGTGAAGGGGTTTGGAGGGGCCATGACGGACGCCGCTGCCCTCAACATCCTTGCCCTGTCACCCCCTGCCCGGAATTCGCTACTCAAATCCTATTTCTCTGAAGAAGGTGAGGACGAGGGGGACAGGATGACACAGTGCGATTGACACTCTGACCTTCCCGTGACCCTGACTTCCACCCCTCCCTGACGTTTGGGTCCTTCCTACCTTTCCCTGGGTGTTAGCTCAGAGGACCTGTGTTCCACCCAGGGGCCTGGCTCCACAGACCCCAGCCGGGACCCCAGGCTCCCTTTGGCCCGCCACAGACACAGTCTAGGACCGGCAGGTGGTTGGCAGGTCCCACATTCTCCTGCTGACTCAGACGCTCGTGTCTCGGCCTTCCTCTTCTGCAGGAATCGAGTACAACATCATCCGGGTACCCATGGCCAGCTGTGACTTCTCCATCCGCACCTACACCTACGATGACAGCCCTGACGACTTCCAGTTGCGTGACTTCATCCTCCCCGAGGAAGATGTCAGGCTCAAGGTGGGCACTCGGCCCCGGTGGAAGTGGATGCCTGCTGGGTGAGAAGCCTCAGGCTAGAGGAGCCTGCAGGGGGCCACAGAGCCCGCCCCCTGCTCTCGGTTCTGTCCCGGGGGTGGGGGGTGGGGGCTGGCGGGACAGGGCAGGGGCCGATGGCTCGGCCTGACCCACTGGTCGGGCCGGTCTGCCCATGTTCCAGCTCTGGGTGTCTCTCTCCTCACCTCCACGGTCTCTAGATACCCCTGATTCACCAGGCCCTGGAGCTGGCCCCACACCCTGTGTCACTCTTCGCCAGTCCCTGGACGTCACCCACTTGGCTGAAGACCAACGGGGCAGTGAACGGGAAGGGGTCACTCAAGGGGCAGCCGGGAGATCTCTACCACCAGACCTGGGCCAGATACTTTGTTAAGTAAGGCCGCAAGCCCTCGTCTCCGCACCCCCTCCCTTGCCGTGGACCCGGGTCACCCCCAGATCCGACTCCTCAGACTACCTTTCTACCTGCTGGGCCTTTCACACTCTGCCTGTCAGTTCTCCCCGCCTCACCGGGCCTCCTATTCCCCAGGGTCCTGGTCCCCCTCTCTTGTCCAGGGCCACTCACACCCTTTTCCCCGTCAGGTTCCTGGACGCTTACGCGGAGCACAAGTTACGGTTCTGGGCAGTGACGGCAGAGAACGAGCCTTCTGCAGGGCTGTTCAGTGGGTACCCCTTCCAGTGCCTGGGCTTCACCCCTGAACACCAGCGAGACTTCATCGCCCGGGACCTGGGTCCTACCCTCGCCAACAGTACGCACCGCGACGTCCGCCTGCTCATACTGGACGACCAGCGCTTGCTGCTGCCTCGCTGGGCCCAGGTGGTAAGGCCCAGGGCCTCCGGGGTAGCCCGGCAACCCCCAGATCTAGCCTCTGGGTGACCGGCTCCCACAGTGTCTTCCCTGCCTCAGCCCTTGATTCCTAGAACTCCCTGGGCTGGAGCCAGCCAGGCGCCCAGGCGGCCCCCCGGGGGGTGCTCAGGGGTCATAACCTCCTCTGCGTCTCCAGGGCCCCAGAGGTCCCCGTGGTTTGTCACTTTAACCCCTCTAGTTGCCTGCAGCCCACTGCCTGTTTCTCAGGTCCCCAGGGCTGCTTCCAGAACCCTCCATGCAGGGCCCGGTTTTAGCAGCCCCTTCCCCATACAGGTGCTGGCGGACCCAGAGGCGGCTAAGTACGTTCATGGCATTGCTGTACATTGGTACCTGGACTTTCTGGCTCCTGCAAAGGCCACCCTGGGGGAGACACACCGCCTGTTCCCCGATACCATGCTCTTTGCCTCAGAGGCCTGCGTGGGCTCCAAGTTCTGGGAGCAGAGTGTGCGACTGGGCTCCTGGGACCGAGGGATGCAGTACAGCCACAGCATCATCACGGTGAGCCCCCAGGCCCCTCCCGCCAGGCAGGCGCAGACCTCCCTCATCTCACCGCAGGAGGGCCTGTTCTCCAACTCACCGAGCTGACTCGCTCTTCGGGGCGTTGTCATCCCTGCCTCCCCTTCATGGGCTCGCACATCCCACCACCGCTTTCCTCGAGTGCTGGCCTCTCTGGCCGTCACGTCTGCCTCCACGTGCCTCTGCTTCCTTGCCTCATCCTCGCCGCCCCGCCCTCCTTAGGTGTTAGAGGCGCCGAGCGCCCCCCACGGGGCCGGGGCGCCGCCAGCCTGCCTTCCTCGACCCTTAACTACATTGTCTGAGGACCCCACGTGGGGGCTGTCTCTGCCCTGCTCCTCCCGCAGAACCTTCTCTACCATGTGGTCGGCTGGACAGACTGGAACCTCGCTCTGAACCCCGAAGGGGGACCCAACTGGGTGCGTAACTTTGTCGACAGCCCCATCATCGTAGACATCACCAAAGACACGTTTTACAAACAGCCCATGTTCTATCACCTTGGCCACTTCAGGTGAGTGGAGGGCGGGCGCCCCGCCTCCTTGCCAGGCTGGTCTCCTGCACGGCCAGGGGCTCCTGTCCCCCCCCCCCCCCCCC